GGAAGCACTTACCAGGGTCAGAATTTGTGTAACAGAGGTGGTGGTAGTAGTACATCTGCAATGAACTGAGGTGAGATCTTGGTGTGATTTCTTAGTTCTTCCCTACAGGAGACCCTGTTTGACGGACTTCTTAGCAGAGAGCAGAAGAAAACATTCATTACATTTTTCAAAAATGCAGTGAGAACAGACTGTCTCCTGTGTTTCATGATCACTGGTTTGTAGTCCCTCAGAGAATACTCCAAGTGAACCGGTAACAGTAATTGAAATACAAAATAGTAAGAGAATTACCATCTACAGAGTGTCTGCAGAGGTGCGCTGAGGGTGTTGGGTTTCTTCATAAAGGAAAGGATGCTCCTTTACAAGTGTCCCCGCCCCCATTCTAAACAAAGGTACTATCTGAGTGACTTAGAAAAACGGAGCCCTTTTTCTACACTGAACTGGTTTTGCTGTCTAATAGGGCCCAGAGTGACTTGTGCCTTGAATGTTAAATGTCTTTGTAGTGCTATAGGAGGATTTGGACTGCATTTGTGATTCCTTTTTTTCTCTGTGTCAGGACTTGCATTTTAGGGAAAGATGCAATGCTGTAATTAGAAAGCTAAGAATGAGTGAGGAGGCAAGCAGAAGTAACCACTGATTACATGTGAATATCAGTAAGTAGGATGGTTGAGACGCTTTTTATTTTATCCTGATAACTGAGCCTCGGGTAGTTGCCAGCCAAACTTTTGCCTGTCTTAGGAAAGAAAATAATTACAGCTTTTGTCACATCTCTAGCAGGTCCTGATAACCAAGTTACTTTTGAAATTTTACTTTTTGTTGGTTTGTTTGTTTTTTACATTTACTTTTTAATCAGCTTATTTTGTACACTGATTGGACCCTGTCTTGATGACTCCTTTAATGAGTTTTAGGGATTTATCATAGTAAGTTGAACTGCATAAGTGTTTTCTGTGTATGTTACTTTTTTATTCTCTATCTGCAGCTTCCTGCAGTCATTGAATAACTGCTAAGTGTTATCAGGCTGAGGAGGGACCTAACCTGTTATTTATATCTAATATATTAATAATGTACCATGTGTTTTCTAGCTGAAAGCTGTGTAATTTTATTTCGTATATATTTAAATATAGCTTGCAAACAGTGAAATATTTATGGTTTGGCTCTAGGTGAGGAGAGAATAATTTTTGTCACTCTCTTTCCTTTCCTTACAGGGTATAAAAATGATAACCAGAAGGGATTTAGAGACGAGAAATTTTCCCATCTAATTTGTCTTTATGGGCCATTTTTGGATCCAGCATAGATCTAGTCCTGTGTGCAGTAGTTCATTGCATGTTTTTTTTTTCTAGTTCAGCTAATGGAGATGGAATCTCTGATCTCCAATCTGAAGAATACAGAGGCCATGACTTAAATTTCTTCTGAACTGTGGAATTTTCCTATTTAAAAAATAATGAAGAGACTAAACCAGTTATTTCTGTAATCACTGAGATGTTTTCATATATCTTGTTATTTCAGAGGGATTTTAGTGTTCAGTTTCTTCTAACTGAAGTCTTTATGAAGTCTAAAACATTTTCTTTAAAAGAGAGACCCAAGAGATTGTCATGAAGTTGCTGGTAAAGGTGAGGTAGGGCAGAGGAGGAGGGAAGTATCATAGGAATTGTAATGACATATAGGAACTAGCAACGAACTAGCAACGCTGCAGAGTTCCTCTTCTGTTTTCAATTGTGATTCTTCCTGGCACAAACCAAACCAGTCAGATCTTTTCTAGTCTAATATCATCCATGAAGTAAAAAGAGCATGTAACTGCTTTTGCGCCTTTTAAGGGATTTTTTTCAAAGGTTTGTTTTTGTTGTGCAGCAAGGCTGCAATTTTGGGGTTTTTTTCCTTGGGAATTCTGGCTTTTGAAATAGAAAGTGTTGCTTGGGACAGGTTCCATTAGTATCAGAGGCTTCCTGCTCTCAGAACTGGCCTCTATTTTATTGCTAATATCACCTTTAAAATGAGCAAATGGAAAAGCCTTATAGCAAAGCCTTAGGGGCTAACCTGATTTGGTGCAGGAAGGAGAATGAAATTTCTCTTTGTAACACCTAAAAAGGACATCTTTTCTTATACTGTAGCTAATTTCAGTGGAATGTAGCAACAACAGCTGTGGTTTACCTGAGAAGCAGCTTTTACAGATCCCAGCTGACAAAGAGGAGTTCTTTTTTTCCTTTCCTGACTCTTTCGTGTGGATGATACATCTGGTCTTAGGACAAAAACTGCCACTGGTGTATGTTTTTTTCTTTTAAGATGAAAAGGAGAAGGGAGAAGGAGGGAGGGAAGAAAGAAAAAGAAAGGAAGGAAAACAAATTGATTCCAGTCATGCATCTTGGCAAACAGTACCTAGTGTCTCAGGAAGGCCAAAGAGGTTGCACTGTATCCCTTCACCACCTTGGTTGTGGTTGTTAAGGCAGATGCGAGTGCTGAAAAATGCTACTTGATTTTTTTTATTTTTTTTTTTTATTCTTCATTATTCCCTTTGAAGGAGTAAAACACCGATTAAAGAGGCATCTTCCCGAGTTTACTGCAAAAAATTGAGAGTACATAATTTTTCTGGAAAGCACTTTTTCATACTTTTCACTAAAATTGTGTCAGTTTCTGTGATGATGATTTAAGTGCAAATGCTATGGTTGCAATAGGACTGTAGTTCATGATACACTTCGTAGTTGCAAACCAATGTGCAGAATGGGGGAAAGAGATCTAAACAGTAAATGGATTTTCATGTTTTTCTTCCAAAGAACATGGCCAATCACTACCTGTTATTTGCTCCTAAGTGTGTGCAAATATTATGTACACCTTTGAACAGATATGAACAAAGTATTAATTTTCTGTGTTTTCCAGAAATAATGGATTTTTTTTTCCTAGATTTTTTTATTGGCTCCTAGCTATCCTAGCTAGTCAGTGGTATTCTAGTTAGTCACGGAATAACAGACTATTTTAATAAACAGCAGTGAGCAAAACGTTTATTTGATGGACCTAAGCAACTGCATGTAAGCATCGAAGGTAAAATTTACCTTTAAATAAATGTGTGTCATATTGCACTTCTGGAATAATTTCTGGGCAGAAAAAAATCTGTTAATGGTAAATTTGCTGTAGGGATTCTATTTTGTCTAATGTTGCAAGTGTTGTTTCCACCTTTATGCGGGTAATTTGGTAATGACTGTATGATTCTTATCTTTTGAGAAATCTACAGCTGCCTGTTCAGTCTTAACAAACCATTTAGCCAGTTATGTATGTTTAGTGAGGGCCACAGAAAGTTCACAATTTCCTGAATATAGCCACAGAGTGCAGGTATTGTACCCTAAATAACACACCAGTTACTGTAAATGTTAATAGATGGAGATTTTCTGACTTAGATTTAGTAAGATCCTATAGCAAAACTATCTGTTAACTCTCTTTTGGCTGCTTGGGATTGTGAAGGGGGGAGCATAGTTTCTACTCACTTTTATCTTTTGACTAAAGGAAGGAAACAATTTTTGAAGAACTTTCAAGATGGGAAGCCACAGCTTTAGCTTTATTAGATTCTTTACTTTTCTCCTTTTTTGTATTCATACTGAGTTTTCTAGTTCTTGGTAAGTTCTTCTAAGAAAAATCTGACGCCTGCCTTCCAAGCACATCATCAAAGACTTAGGAAATTTATTTCAAGTTAGTTGAGGAGCCCTTCAAGTGTGAGCTTAACATGAAGACAGAGAGTGTGCATTCATATCTCTGTTAGTTATTTGTCACACACAGGGACAGAATTAATAAAAATAGATGAAACAAGGATAAACAGAACAAACGAACATCTTGCCAGCTGAATCATCTTTCCCAATAGTTGCCATTTAATGCAAAACGCAGCTCATTTTGCCCTAATACATGGCTTTTTTTATTACAATAAAATAGAAGTTACTCTGTAGTGCTTCAGGCATTATTTTTTGGCAATAGCTTTTTGGGGTTTTTGCAAGAAAAAAACATGAATGGTCTTTTGGAAGTGAAAGTCTGCATGCGCAAGTCAAGTTGCTTGGTTGCCAGTGTGCATGTTCAACTGTGGGCCAGTGTACAATTTAAAAATTGAGGAAAGTTACCAGTTTGTAAAGATTGGCAGACATTACACAAGGGAGTCCAGTCTGTGCTGACAGGCAGGCATGTTATGATCATGTATTTTGAGGCAAGAATGGTTCTAGAAGGGAATTTTTCACAACAGCACTCTTTTCAAGGGAAATAAGTAGGTGTTGACACTAGATCTTTGTGTGTGATCTTTTGCATTAGGGCTAGACATGCTTTCACTTACTCTTTTTCTCCTAATACAGTAAGTATTCTTAAAATCAAATACTTTGAATTGGAAATGATGAGGGAGGGCAGAAAAAAGGAATAAACTGATTTTGGTTTGTTAGTTGTATAACATGGGGAATCATGTTTTGACTGAAGCAAGATAAATATTTTGTCAACAAAGGCAGATGCATATGGAGGCTGACTTTGCTGTAAAATTTAATGGTGTGTATTTTTACTTTTCTGGGACTATATACAGAGTTTCATTTTTAGCACTGTCACCTGTGGTGTTATTTTTTCGTCCCTTTTTAGGTTGTTGAAGCCTATGGCCTAGTGTTTCAAGACTAGCTTTTCTCTGAAGTGTTCTGAAGTGTTGTTTTTTCAGAGTGGACACATGCATTACAGCAAAAACCATATCAAACAAGCTTCCAAGAAAAAGGTGTGGAAAGGTGAAAGGAGATAATGAAACATTGAAAATACTGTGTGCTTCACTACTTCCATGTCAAATAATAAAGAAATTAATTAGAATAAAACCTACAGTTCTTTTCCTGCTTTTGCATAGTCACACTACTTTGTGCACTTTTAAGTCTTACATGCAGAGACTGAAATATGTCCAGCCCTTCAGATGAAGGGAAGATAAAGGATAGTTTATTTTACCACAAAATATATTTTGCGTTGCACTCTCTTACTCCTCCACTTGTCTTTCCTTGTTCTTCATTTTACAGCTTCTGCGATCCCAGATAATGGAAGGAGATCCTGCCTAAAGCTTAAGGTCTTTGTGCGACCAGCAAGTAAGTTCTTCAGATTAAGTTTTTGAGGGTGGCTTTCTAGTGCATGCTTTACTGTGTGGTCTAGTAAACAGCAGTAAATCTTTTTTTTAACTGTTAAATCTTGTATCTGTTCTTACATACAACAATGTTTGTGTTATGATTTTCATCATATTTTCCTGTTGTTTTTCATAAAGCTTTAATTACATCGCAGTTGCTAACTTGTTGTTTCTGGAAATGGGTACAGATGAGAGAGTGTACTGGCATTTGGACAAGTGCCACAGACTTTAAAATATGAATGTGCTTAATTATATAAAGTAAATAGAGAGAAAAAAAGAGAGGAAACAAGGAAAGTGGGGAGTTTAAGGGTGTCTCACTAACATATTTGGCTGTTATCTTTATTTTCGTTATAGACAGCTGTATGAAAACTATAGGTGTTCATGATCGTGTTTTCGATGTTAACGACAAAGTAGAAAATTCATTAGAACCAGCAGGTTAGTATGCTTAGAGAATCTCTTTTAACAAATGCGTGTATCCCTCTGGTGCTTCAGTACTTTTTTTCCTCTTCTCTCTGCGTGCTTTGCATGGTACAACTGCTCTGCTTTTGCACATTTCCAGCAGTGCTAATGCACTGTATAATATATTTCCTGTATCCTTGTATAATGCAGGGGAAGAAAAATGTTGCTTTATTTGCTTTTTTTGGGTGACATGGTTTAATGTAATATGATGTGTGCCAGTGTAAAATTTTCACCAGTATCCTGAAGTCACTGGCCCATCCAAGCCAAACACCCAGCATGTTGGCAAAACACTCTATTTACTAACTGGGTCCAAAGTTTTAGAAATAAAGGTCAATGGGCACACCTCATTTATTATGTACGGTTTCAAAAGACCTTCCGAAAAACAGAACCACTGCTTGTTTAATGCTGGTGCATGACACAGGCATGCAACGAACTGAGTTAGTGTTTATATAGAAATTAGTCCTTTAAAATTATATATATTTGTGTGTATAAATGGTTAGGTAAAGTATTGTTTTTACGTATATGTACCTACACACACACATGCACACACACTGATAGATAGATAGATAGATGTGTGTGTGTGTATAGGTATAAAAATTTCTCCTGTTTTTATTGAAGCAAACTTAAGTTGGGGGGGACTTTTCTGTTTTGTTTTTTTTGCAAAACACTGCCTTAAGGATATGGATGCTTGCTATGATGAAACCCCTTATCTGCCCAGGGCAAAGTTATATTAATCTCCGAAATCAGTCAAGCTGGCATGTCTCTGTGTAGAAAGTGCATGTGTGTTGTTTGAGTGGCTCAAGTTTATGATAGATAGAAGCATATTTAATTCTACGTGTATATGTAATCCCAACAACATAAATGAGATGGCTCATGACATTAAAATTAGGTGGATAGGTAGGAGAAGTATTTGTAGTAGTGGTATACCCGTTTGTTTTATATATACCTACCCAGTGCTCACACATTGTTTTATTAAAGCCTCAATAATTAAAATACACAGTTAAACAAACAAATTATACCAGAAAATATTGCACATATGCCATTTAGTACATACCTTGAAGAACAATTACCAAGATTTTTTTCTCTCATGCTGTTTGAAAGGAGACTTCCTCTTTATGTATGAAGCAACATACTAATTTTTTGCTCTCTGTTATGTGCAGTTCCTTTAATTAAAATTCATTATTTATGCAGGAGAATAAATAAGGTTTTCACAAATTATCCAATTTGAATGATATGCCTATGGATAAACAATAGGGTTTATTGTTTTTCTTTGAAATAATTTTCAGAACTCTCCTAAAGTTTTGGGGTTTGAGAATCAAAGATGTTTTCTAAGCAAATCTAAATGCAAGGACAATGCATTTACATTAGATACATTTATACATTTGATAACAACATTCTTGTACAGAAGACATAAGGATATTCTTTCACTGTCTCTGTGTTACCTACGAATCTAGAAACCCAATGCACTTTTTACATTTTGTGATTTGGTAAACATGATCTAATTAATGTGTATTTCTCCTGTTACTGGCTTGCAAAAGAGATCATCTGAGTAATAAATGCCTGATTTTAGTAAACTTGCTGAATATTTATTTTTTTCAGCAGTGCTGCTCACTTCCCATTGAATGGCTATAACTAGCTAGCATCATCACAAAAGCACATCATTAGAAAGCAGCAGGCAAACCAAGGAACCAAAATCAAACAAAGAGCATCCTGCAGTCTGAGATGAAATACTGTTTATGTTACCAGGAGGAAATAATAGCTTTAATGAGGAGGTTTGGTACCAAAAAACTCCCACTGCTGACATCAGTGTGTGTTTGCATTATTGATTGGTGGATCTTGTTGCATGTGTTCTGTGTCATGTACTAATTTGCATGTCTCTGGTGAACATCCTCTGCTTCTGTGCTCTCCCCTGGCCTGCCATTGTCTTCTTCCACAGTAGACAGAATTGGAAGGCAGGAGGGCCATGTTCAGCAGATTACTTACTGTCGTCTTTCTTTTAAAAATCACCATTTGTGTGATTTTTGAACCCTTGTAATTTCACTGGTTTTGTTCAGAAATTTGTGGGAAGCTGATCCGTAACAATCATACTTCTTTCAGAAGTGATCAAAGTAATTGGCTCTATTCCTGTCCTCCACTTCTCTTCCTCCTTAAAAATAAAAATAAAAAACCCCTAAACAAAAATTGCAGCTATGCATATCTGAAAGTTATACCTCAAGGGCATGTGATATGACGCTGTGTGATCTGAAAAATTTATGGCTGTCAAAATAATTTTTCTATTTACTGGTGGCATTTCCAGTCTTTAGCAGTGACCTTCTGGATTTTACTCAGGAGTTTTTCCTGTTCATTACTTGCCTTTAGTGTTTAAAATTAAGGAAAAACTTTTTCCCAAGCCTTAAAGAAAGTGCAGTTATAACTCTGCACCTCCAAGGAAAATTGTATATGTAGACTGATATTCATAAACACAGATGAACTGTGTCTTCTAAGAGACAAGTGCAGAAACCTTGCAACAGCACTGACAGAAAACCTGGATGATTTCTCAAAAGGAATCCCTTAATGTTACATGGAAATCAATTCTTCTGTGAAGAATGGCTTTATAAAAATGGCATCATAGAAGATCTCCATATTTTTCATTTAAGCAAAGTAATCTTTTTAGCTTAGTGCTTTTTCATTGAGTTTTTTAGCCATAGCCAGTGTTCCAGTTGTGGCAGTATCTGATAGTCATAGAGGATGAGGATTTATTAGGGCTTTACACTAGTTGTGGCCTGTTGTGTTTTAGTGCTGACTCACTGATATAATTAGGATGAAACTGTTGACATTCAGTGTTGCAAATTCAGACTTATTTGCAATTCTGTTGATGATGCAAGAGATGGAAGGTAATACACATAATTCTATCTAGTTTTAGTTCATCAGCAGTGAGTAAATGTTTTCAAATTGGGAGAAGCTAACTTTAAATATATGAAAGAAGGTAGAACTGACAGTCAGGACAGGGTTATTTTTTCTCTGTAAATTCCTAGAGTATATTTTAATTGAGAAGGAAGCGTTAGTGAAACACTGTATTGTCATTGCAGTGTCATCAAAGTACAAGATTGTAACTCGGAACTGAAATGTGAAACAGCTTTTGGTATTGACAACCACTGGAATTGTCACTTTTCAGTAGCCAGCATTCACTGAAATTTTTAGATTCCTTTGGAATAATTCTGGAGGAAGAATACTGGGGCCTTGCTCAATGTGCCTGGGAAGGTCTCCTTGTTGTACGTGGTGTGGAGCTGCAGCTAAAGTCATTCCAGCCAGTCTTTCCCACTGACATCACAGAATCACAGAATGGGTAGGGCTGGAAGGGACCACTGGAGGTCACCTAGTCCAACCTCCGTGCCCAGGCATGTCCCCTAGAGAATGTTTTAATGAGGATTTTGTCCAGATGGCTTTTGAGTAGAAGATTTAGAAGATTCTGGGCAATCTCTTCCAGTGCTCAGTCACTCACACAGTAAAGGAGTTCTTCCTCCTGTTCTGGTGGAACTTCCTGTGCATCAATTTCTGCCTGTTGCCTTCTGTGCTGTTGCTTGGCACCACCAAGTAGAGATGATGTCCCTTTCTTACAGACGTGAACTATTTACGGCTGATCAGTGCTTGCTTGTCATACTTTTGCCTTGAGCAGCACTGAAACCTGTTGATAAGCCTTATGTGATTATAGCATCAATTAGTGCTGAAAAAAGTACAGGTGATAAATTGCTAATTCAGTTTCCTGTCCATCTTGCTGTGTAACTGAGCTGGGGCTGAAGAGCCTATTAACCTAAATTATGCTAAGTGCTCTATCTGCTGTTATGCTGGGTGTCGGGTAGGAAGGGGTGGGAGCTTGTTAGTAGCTAAAGCCAAGTAGTATGAAAGGCTCTATGCCAAAGTGTGGTCCCAGTGAGCCCAATGTCCTTACTCCTGCTTCCCTTAGTCCTCTAGGTGGACTTGAACAGCTCTCAACCAGTGTAATCCTGACAGTGCAGTTTCTTGAGATAGGAGCTGTGAGACAGAAACATCATAGATATGTTGACATCTCTTACAAATAGGGGAGCTTATTACACTTAATTTTGCTGGAAACTTAAAGGACTCTAAAAAACTTATGAATACATTTTGAGTCCACTTCACACTTCCCAAAAAGGTTTAGCTTATTTCTGTCAGAGCTGACTTTTTATGGCAAACCGCAGACAGACAGATTGCTTTTTTAAATAGCCAAATTAGGATATGGGGGATATGGAGGGCCAAATGTGGATATGAGCAGTATGGACGGCTTTGCAGAGAAAAATACCACTGCTGTAACAACACGGAAGCTGAATTTGACTTTACCTACCTTTTTTATATTACAATCTATGGCTTTTACGCTGATCTGTAGTTTATGAAAACTAAACAAAGCTTTATTATGTACCATAAATTTAATATTTGTTACTGTGTTCTCTTCTGCCACTAATGCATAAGCATGTTTCCCCAACTCATCTGGTTCTTTTCTCATTAGTTTTAGCAGCACATATGTATTTCTCTATTTTGTGTACAATAAAAGGGAGTGAGATTTTCCAGATTGAGTGTGTATTCTATAAAATTGGTGATTGTCATGTGTTCGCCTTAAAAATTCTGTTTCAAGAAGGGGGGGGAATATCTTAGATCTCCTGCACATCCCCAGGTGCAATATACTTCAGTGGAAATTTAATGTGAGGAAGAGGAGTATATGCTTGGGCTTACAGGCTGTCATTTCAAATTCAGGAGCCCAAATCTGTAACTGAGTGAGGGGATTAACTGTGAAATTAATTCTGGGCATGTGCAACACTTTTGAAAATCAGGTGTTTTTATTTAGCTGCCTCCCAACTGACATTGCTATCTAATGAGCCATCCAAAGCTAGAGCTACAGTCTTTTAGTGGAAGAGGAATCTTTCATTCCTCAATCTGCTAAAATCAGACTTACTTTCTGCTCCTCTGGTCTTCAATGGGAGTTTTTTGAGTAAGAAATGCAGGACTAGGCCCCAAGTTGATTACATAATGAGGTATTACACGCTTGTGAATGTCAATGACAGCACAAGGTTCATTGCCCTATTTCATAAAGGCACTGAAATCTACTTATGGTTGTCGGCTCAGTGAGAGTTTATTAAGGATGCAAAATCTCATTGGAATGTGTGCTTTCTGTTTGAACAGATGATACCGTACATGAGTCAGCCGAGCCATCCCGTGGCGAGAACGCGGCACAGACACCAAGGATACCCAGCTGGCTTTTGGCAACTCTATTGTTCCTCCTGGCAATGCTTTTGATATTATAGCAGAGTATGCTCCGACAACCTGTCGCAGAAAATATCAGGGTCTTGGAACATCAAAGACCCACCTAACTGCTCATCCCAGGAAAGGGACTTTATTGTTTTTGCAGATGTCAAATTGTTATTTTTCCCTTTTCTTCTCCCTTTTAGCCTGAACTCAGCAAAAATTTGAAGGGGATAACTAGCTTCAGCACCCACCCCTACCTACCCTGTGACTTTCTTAACCCCTCCATATAAATAAAAGGACTCCAAATGAAAATGCCAAACTATAATAGTGACACTAGTGATTCTTATTTTCCTCTGCATTCTCCTTTAAAAAGTCACCTCTGTTAGCTCACTGTGTCATCCTTGTGTGGACTAGGAAGAATAGTGGCAGATACAATCAGTGAGGGATAAGGAAAGTGAGTGAAAACCTGGGAGAGTCTTTCTCTGTGATACAATATTTATGCCTTTTTATTGAGCACTATAGGATGATCATGCAAGGCATTGTGTCTCCATGTCAGGACTGGAGGGGAAATATTAAGAGTAGACATAATATAACACCCTTACCTCCAGGAGTTTCTAAATGAACTGGCTTCTGAAAGGGAAAGATGATGTTTCTTATGGGACTGTCTTGAAACGTCTTTGACAGTAAAATTTGTGCTCACAAGTAGAGATGCTGTCTTTGGTGAGAGGAAGAAGTTTAGTATTTAGGAATGTTAGCATACAGCAGGCAAAGTCAGATTTAGGAAACTTCACTGGGGGTGTGAGTGCCTCTGTTATTTCGTTTTAAGGGGATAATGCACACCGGATTATTTTATTTTAAAACAAATCAACCGTGGTGCTACAATTTTTTCTTGAAATGCAGAGGCACTTTTGAGAATAAAGTGACCTTCCCCAGCGCTGACTTAGTAGCTGATAGCCTTGGATGCTGCTCTGGGTGTTATTACATGCTAAAAGAGGACATCAGTGGCCAGACGAAACATGTTTGGGACACAGGATCTTCAGTGTGCTCTTGATTTGTCTCTCCTGCAAGTTCCTCAGTCATGGGAATAAATCACATGTAGAAGAAGCCAGGGCACTCTAATAGCATTGTTTGGTGGGAGGAAAAAAAGAAGTGTGGAATACGAATTCAAGTGTTGATTTTTGTCTTTTCACCTTCCAGCACAGTTTGAAGAGTAGAGGAAACATGTTTATCAACCGGAGATAAAGTAGATGGGCTCCCAAAGACTTAACAAAATATTTTTTTAAAAATCCACTAGAATAGAAAATACGTTATTTAGATATACTTTATGCTGAGAGTGAGTATATATGCTTGTCCTGTTCAAACATGTGAGAGAAGTGGTAACCCTTGATGCAATTAGGAAATGGGACTGTCTTGTTTGATGGAATTAGGTATGACCTTGTTAAGGAATCTGAGCCTTGGCTAACACAAAACTTTAAAAAGTAGTTTGCCAGGAAGTGCAAGCCTTGGAGTGCTTTTTGGCTTGGCTACCATGGAATTTGAATGCTAAGCATAATCAGTGAAATTTCAGACCCAGACTGAAACAGAGCTTTTCTGACAAAAACTGTGGTAATTACATTAAGTGTGAAACAAAACACGGAGTGCATTCAAGCAAAACAAGATTTTTCTATTTTAATTATGAAGAAAAAGTCTGCTGTAACAAAATTGAGTGATGCCATTAATGGACAGCACTTCGTAGGCTTTGTTTTTTGTTTGTTTTTTTTTTAATGGCTAAAACCTTTCCAGGAGTTGAAGCAGGAGAGGGAAAAATAAATTTGAGATGTAAAGGGAGGTTTTTTGCATGCTGAGCTATGACCTGGGCTTGCCTGATATCGAACATATTCATCAATGCAGGGCCTGTACTTAACAGGAGGAAAGCAGGAAATTTGCTCTAGTATGAAGTGCACAGAATAAAGATACACAGACCAAACAGTGAGGGAAGTCATCATCTTATTACAGGCTGTCTGGTACTTTGCTCTCTTTAATGTGTATATGCTTGGTACACACACTAATACTTCCTGAATTTAGGAATTATAAAGCTTTGGATGAGGTGAGGTTATTCAAAATACACCTTATCAAATGGATTATTAACCAGAGTACAGATAATATTGCATGATGTGTAACCATATTAAAATGATTCATAGCAATTGCAGGCAGTCATACCAGTAGTGCCAATTTAATGTAGGAACAGTGACTTCATTTGTCATCTTTTGTCTCTGAATGATGTTGGAGTTGAAGAAATACATTTATCCACAAAGGATTGTCACTAGTGTTACTCCTGGTGAAACTCACCCCTTCATGTTGTCACAGAGCCTTGCTGGGTAGGTGAGGGACAACACAAATGATGTGGCTGCATGGCAGATCCCGGTGCTGCCTGGCACGGCGTGGCTGGGAGCAGCATACCAGACTCTGTCAGTTTGATACTTGATGGCATTAGGCAATCCCAGTCATACCAAGATACATAAATGTTGGTGGGCTTTGTGTTGCATTGCAAATCTCTAGATGCTTTAAATGCAGATGTTGCTGCAAATTGAGGAGATTTTTGCTTCCTTACCCTTTATCTGCCCCAGCTCAAGTCTGAGGTACTGATTCTCCCTCAGCCTAGGGAGAATGGGTTACGTATGCCCATGACCTGCGCTCCTGGCTGCCAAGTGCATTGCAATGTGAAGCAGGCAACATAGGGATCAGTCAGTTTAGTGGATACTGTGTATCCTTCAATAGACAAGGTAACATTTTGTGTTAGTTTAGAATATTGTTTTGTACTGTACTTACTTGGATGGCGAAGGAAAGACAAGTAAAACTTAAAGCTATGTTCTTTAAATTCTGTATTATTAGCAACCTCTGTTGTATATAGTGTTTGATAATAAAGTATTAATTTGATTCTTATGTCTTTTGTAAGTGAGAACAATAGACTTTCAGGATATTAAAATCACGTGTTGATTACAAGACAGAGCTTTGAAGCATCAAGTGTGATCATGGCTGAGAACTGAGAGACAAGTGGCCATGACACTGCAGCATACAGGACTCATCTTTGAAAATCGTTCATCTATTGCAAGACTTCACAATGTCAAGACCTGGAACAACATGACTTTTGATGATCAGTGTTTTGTCCTCAGTGTTTAAAGGTCTGATGTTGGAGCCCTGTGGTTTATGTGTTAGTTTTTGTTCTTTTTTATCATGTTTGTTTCTAAAAAGGCTTTGGGGATATAACAACTTTTCTGTTATTTTGTTTGTTTGTTTCTTTTTTATTTGTATTTTTTCCTCCTGTTTTTCTTCTGGTTTTGTTCCCATGACTAGTTTTTTCCAGAAAGGATCTTGCCAGTGTCATGTACGATATGTGTGTGTACTTTCTTCCAAAAGAACTAGAAACAAATTTGGGAAGTACTGAGAGTAGTTGAGTAGACTGTTTCCTTTCCTCTATAACTGTGGAAGGAAAATGGTTGTATTTGTACCTGTTGATTCCCACCCTTAGCCCTCAAAACTGAATTTAATCCGTTGCCTTATGAGTGCAGTGGTTCAGTCACTTTAAGAGGTTTAGAGTGTTAACTCTTCCCCTCTTTTCATTACACTTGGATTTTGTAATCACCAATTTTAATGTACAACCCTCTACACTTCTCTTCCCTCTTCCTGCCCTTCCTCCTCTCCCACCCTCCTCCTTTTTTCATTTGGAACTGTGAATGGGCAGATCTGTTTCTGGTCTGGCATCACTGAGTTTTTCCCATGCATTCACCCTCGAGCTTCTCGGATGTGAGACAAATCTCCCTACAATAGGCTTTCTGCCATTGTCTGTACAGTTTAATAGATGCTGGCATGTTGGAGGTTACCCATGAGTCTGCGAAATCCGCTTACCATGCTTACTCTTGACACCCCATTGAAGACACTCATTGTGTATGCATCTGGGTATGAAAGTCCAGCTCAGTGTGGTCCTGTGCTTGTACTGCCCTGCTTTGCAGTTTCTTTGCACTTACTCATTGAGTGCTGTTTTTGAAATGCTTACATTATATGAACTTAAAGGAAAATGTTAAAAAAAAAAGGCAACAAAATCCCTGCCCCATAAGATCTGTATTTGTATATACACGTGTCCGTACAACTATACTTAAATAAAATTAAAGATTTTCATCATTTTAATTGGTTCTTTTAGACTACATTTTTGTTTAATTAACTACATTTTTATTTTGTGAGCTATTTGTACCTCACTTACATAGTGGTCAGCGTTGGAAGAAACCTTCAAAGTTCTTCTAGTCCAACCTTCCTGCAATGAGCAGGGACATCTTCCACTAAATCAGGTTGCTCAGAACCCCATCCATCCTGACCTTGAATGTTTCCAGGGAAAGAAGAGGAATGAGGAGTATGAGTGGGAAAGTGTGAAAAATGCAGTAGGCACAACTGACTAGAGCTCTAGCTACCAATGTCTTGGCTGATCTAAAGCCTGACTTCTCCGCTCTTCACCATTTTTAAATGTGTTCAAAGATCATCCAAATCCTTAGGAGGGTAAGCCCAAGTGCTGGAGCATTACATGGTCTCCGTCATCACTTCTACTCTGTTCGAGGCCTCCTGAGCAATCTTCCTTCCTTCCCTGGGTAAAAGGTATTTGTATGGTGTAACTCTTACTCATTGAAGAGTAGAGCCAGCCCCAGATTTGGCAGCTGCACTCAGTCCTCCTCTACGAAGATGCTCCTCAGACTGATGAAGAGATCGGGTTGGAAGTGGCTTTGAAGTATCAGCAGTATTTTTCCTTACTAAAGGGAGGAAAAAGGCTCAGAGTAGTGGGAGCCTCATGGATGGCAGAATTTGAGCAAGGGCGCCTCCTGAAGGGAAGAGGAAGAAGATTGTCTGACTTTCTTCTCCTTCCTTCCACCTCTGCCCCTGGAGGCTGATGTTGTGCCTCTAAAAATGCACAGGACTGCTTTGGTTGACTTGTATTTATGTCTGAATAGTTGTCTTTGATAGTGCCTGCTCACTAGTCATATGATAGGTTTAACCTGAGAATTTAGGTCGTAAAAGGTGGGGAGCGAATACCGAAACCTGTAATACATGCACTGTGTGTTCGAAGTTGCTGTAATTACACCATGTTAACATTAAACTCACAGAAAGCTTTTTATTATATTAATTAGTTGACAGGGCAGCAAGTAGTAATTATAACTTACTCTAACCTTCTTTACAAATGAGAAGTGACAGCTTCGTGAGATTTGATACAAAGAATTGATGCACCAGACATTTTTCCTCTGAAGCTGTGATGTTACAACCAGGGCAGGATTATAAGTGACACATGTTCAGTATGTCTTAACATAATAACCATGTCCAGAAAATATCCTGCAGTTTGACACACTTAATAGCCTTTGCTCAGAAGACACTCTGCTTTTGCTGAGAATGGTATTTGATTTCATTTTTCTGCATTAGTGTGCACAATGGGTCTTTGTACTCCCTCTTCTTCCCTTCTGCAGAATATTTCTGCTCACAGAGTACTTCTGAGGGCATTCTTAGGAATATTCAGGCATGCATCATACTGCTATGATATGGTTGTGTGCCAAAGTGGTTTTATTAATTTAAAACAAAGCTTTGATTTATATAGGTTAGAGTTGTGGTAACCAACTGGGATGGTTGAATTTTTTACAGGCTTTAACAGCACAGGAATGAAAAGTGTCTCCTTCCTTGTAACTTTTATTTTCGTTAGCTTTGGCCTTACTGGGAAGTTTGGATTAAAACATGATTTAACTAGGAGCCCAGACCAAGACTCAGTCTTTCCTGTAAAGGCTGTACAGACAGCTCTTGTACATGGCCATTTGTGTTTGCTTTCAGCACCATTTCCATTTGCTGCCACTAACTGAGCAAGCTGAAATACCACCAATTTAAATTTTTGTTAAGATTTCTGCTTAAACTCACATAGAAGCTTTTAAAGCGAAGTCTCTGTTAGATGCAAAAATAACCTTTAAGGAAAATTCATAAAGAAGCAATATTGCAAAAAATGTTGCGCTAAGGAGTTTTTTTGTTGGTTCCCTCCTCCCTAGATAAGTCTGTTAGCTGACTAGTACTGTCAGTCATATTTAATTTGGAGGAATTCAAACCACAAGATAACTCTTGCAGCCACTAGCACATCTTGAAACACTCATTTTTCCTATGGTGGTCCTTCAAGCAAGTTCTCATGTCATTTGATTACACAAGGAGGAATATAAATATGAGAAATTGCAGGGTGGAAAGCTAGATGTGTACTTGGAGGGAAAGAAGAAGAATTTTCTGGTTTTCTTAGCACTTTATGAAAGCATACGCTGCATTCAGGATCAAGAGTATAGAGTGATTTCCAGATGCCTATCTACCTTGTATCTCTGAAGCAGAGGAAGGATGGAAGGTACCTTCTTCTGTGTACACAACTTCAAGTGCAAGTCTTAGACACAGCCATCTCTCAGTTCTTAAATTCAAAGTATGAAGCACTATTTTGTGGGACGCACTTGCCCACTTAGCAGTATATACTTTCCAGTACTAATTTTAACATTTAACATTTAAACACACTTCCTTCTCTCCTCACTTTACCTATAGTTGAGCAAAGGAATAAGAAGTCTAGAAACTGAACACAGCGAAAGCAAAGCATCTTCAGACCTAAAATGGCAACCCTGATATGAAACTGAAGTTCCAGTCTGTTTATACTTGGGTATTGGGAATAAATGGAGTGTTACATATTGAAAATGACAAGCTGTGATCCTGCAGCAACAATCCTTACCTGAGGAGGGTCAGAAGAATCAAGCCCTTGGCTGGGTGTGAATGCTTCAGTGGAAACTTGGCATGCTGTGCTTTACATGGCGCTGTGTGTATCCCAGTGCTTCTGTTCACTACAATGAGGGTGGAGAAGGGGTGGGGAAGAAAGAGCTCATTCAATCACAGATGGCTAAGCAGCAGTGGGAAGTACACAGCAGATTTTAAGCCAAGAAAGTGGTTACTGGTGTAAACTGCCTCTGAGTAGAAGACTTGTTTATTTGTGGAAATTCATAAAAACATGAAATGGAAAACCTGAAAAGTGCCTGACTGTGTTCTCTAGAAGGAGTCCGCTGGTCAAGCATGATGCTTGCAGAAGTCAGGGAAAGTTTTGCCATTTAATCAGGCCCACATTGCTCAATTTTTAAAACCCCGCTAGCATTTAAAAATACACACCTCACCTTGCTATTCTAAAACAGCAAAAACCTGAAGTCTTGCACTCTGCAAGGCTTCTCCTGAAGAGCTGCATATTGAGCTGGCAGCTCAGGATTTTGATGTACCAGGCCCACATGAGAAGACTCCCCCCCCACTGCTGAGTACCTCATGTGGCAGATGCTTTAATGGTGGTTTTTAAACTTCGTTGTGGGAGTAACTTCTTGTTGTTTTATGTCTGCCACCAAAAGGTCCTGAAGCTGGATCAGGAGTGCAGAATGTAGATAAACTGACTTTCACAGAGCAGGATACAGCTACATTTTGATTTAGTGTAGCTGCAGAGAGAAGAATGGCAGTTCTGCCTTAGAAAAGGATTGAACAAGAGTGTGGACCATGCAGGATGTTAATGGTTAGACATTAAATGTGAGGCAAAGCCAGATGAACCCATGCAGTGATGCTTATCACGCCTTCTACATTAGTTTTACAATATCCTGGTTCTTGCATATAATTGCATTACAAAAGGCCTTGCATTCCCCTTGACACAGAAGTCAAAGCAAGTGTGCATATCATTCTTCCAATATGTGCCCCTTTTGTGGTTGTTTATTTGATTAGTTATTCTGCATTTATTTGCAGGTAAAAAAGGAAGGAAAACCCATGCACACTTCCTATGCTCTGGTCTCATTGACCAGTCAAAACTCCTGTACTCCAGAGAAGTTTTGCCAAGCAGCTAAATGGAATGTGCACATTATGAATATTTATGCTGCTTTAATGATTGGATTTTTGGATCCATGAATAATAAAGGTTTAACAAGAACAGATAATAAGATTGGCACAAAACAGTGAAGTGGTTAATACAGCAACCTCTCTGTGCAGGACTTCACTGAGAGCAGAAGATGTTGCAATCCCCCTCCCATGTTGCAATCTCCCTCCCCTTCCTTTTCATCTAGCGGCAAAATTAGTCTGATGGGACATGCAGATCTTTCAGATAGCTCTGCAGAAAGCGTTTTATCTGTGGTCTGTTCTACAGCCACCTCTTGCATGCTTTGTTTGAGGAAGCTCAAGGTTTTTGACTGAAAGGGGACCTTCAACTTTTTGAACACGATTTTTGTTTCAGATACTCTCCAGCAGCATTTGCATTTGAATCTGAAGCTGCCACTTTGCTTGGTCTTTTCAGGAGCAACTGGCTGACAAGTGTTTACAACATGCAGAGGTTTGGGGGCTGCAAGTCAAAGCAGCACGGTTTGCATAAGCTGAGGCAGGGAACGGTAGTCCACTCTACTCCCTGCTTCAGCTGAATGATGCTGAAGCTTTAAGGTCCATCTTTAGTGAGGAACTGCAAGATCCTGAAGACAACAGCACTCATTTTAATTGTCTATAGCCACAGCTGCTTAAAGCCTCATCTCTTTAGTGTTAAAGTGAGATGCTCTAAATTCATTATAACTGTGCTTGGAGGGGACACAATATTTTACCCTCTGATGAATTTTGGAGCAAGTCTTTAATTACATGTTTACCATACCCAGGTGTGCTGGACCTGTAGGAGCAGATGTCAGGCAATGCACATGTATATAAGCCATGTCTTCATGGCTGGGCTTCGCAAACGAAGATTTGGGAAGGGCACTACCCACGTTTCTTGCAAGCGCGTTGGTGGTTAAAAATGCCAATACGAGGCAGGCATGTCCGGTTGCAAAAGGCACAGCAGAAAGACTCCTTAGGTGGTATATTCTGCAAGGCATGATTCTTTCTGCATTGTCTTTTCTCCTCGAGAGTGATCCTGCGTGCGTTCTCAAAAGCATCAGCAGCGTTACAGATAGTGGGTCTCCAGGCCTCCCGATTGGAGGCCAGAGTAGACCAGTTACGTTGATCAATATGGCCAAGGCTGAGATGTTGTTTCACGGAGTCCTTGTATCTTCTCTTCGTGGCTCCTCTCATGCGGCAGCCGGTGGCAAGTTCACCATAAAGCAAGATCTTAGGGAGGCGGTGGTCCTTCATCCTTGAGACGTGCCC